GTTGACGATTTGATTGACAAAGATATTTTCAAGTTTCTGGCCATTTATAAATTTTTGAAGGCCTATTAAACTGACATACACGAATTTCAAGCCCTAGATTTCTAAAAAAAAATTAGCTAATACAAATTTTGTACTACAGAAAATTATTTTTTCTTCGATGGCTAAGCGGGGCATACGTTGAGTAAACAGTGCAATTTTTGAAATAGTTTCGCCATGACTGTGGTACCAATTTTCGTTGGCACTGACAAAATCCGAAATCCTTAAAACAAGAATCCAAATTGCAGGAAAAACGGTTCTAATCTCTTTTCTCATCGACAAGCGAGGGCAGATATTTCGTAAAACAGAGTCTACTACAATAACGTTATAATGGTCGCACTTTATTCATTTTTATGATGATGGTATATGACAGGGAGACGTGTTTGGTCCTTATTTATACTTTATATGTGCTCATATAACCGTCATAGTAAATACATAAATATTGTCTGCTGAAGGACGAGTATGCGGATGTTCTTGCTAAATCCTTTAACGGAACGCTGATGATTCTTACGTTGAATAGATTTGAAGTATTTTGCAAGGTTTCGTACATTGTTATTTTTTGTTAATTAGAAAGTCCAGGATTCGATCCTAGTATACAGGGAGAGAGTAAGTGATAGGGATCGACTTTTAGAAGCACTGACAGCGGCATCAGGCATTTTTTACCTTGAGGTGGATCGAATCTAAAGTACCACAGCATGTAACCTTTCACTTACAATTCGCAACCCGATCTCCGTTATTAGGTAGGTCGGATGGTATGGATAGGAAGAAATATGTCCTACAGACTAATCAAAACACCGCTTCCATTTTTAGTTTTCAAGTGAGGTGCGGAATGTAGGATACAAATTACTGTTCTTGTAACTTAAATTTTCAGCATTCGGAATTCAATTCTCTCAACAGACTCAACAACACAATTTCCGAAAAGTAAGACTCAAGTTCCGTTCCATTTCAAATCATAATATATTGTAAAAATACAACATATTACATATATATAATTGATTCTATCCTTGCACGTACATTTCACGTCAAGTTAAGAATGATTTATAGTGTTTGTGAGTAGAACAGTAATAGCAAATTGTAATATTATACAAAACAGGTAGGTTCAACTGAAAGGACGCATCCATCAAGATTATAGTAAGGTCAAGGTCATAACATAAAAAGTATGACCCAAGAACATCCATCACAAGCCAATTAATTATACCAACATATACCATATATTACGGATGTGTAATAAATAAAGGAGGAGGCGCAGTGGCGTTTCTAGGAAACATGAGGTGTGGGGGGCGAGCAGGAGCCACAAAATTAACTATGTATAATGATAAAAAAAATTGAAAGTAGGGGTGGGGGTGGCAAACAGGGGTCAGCCTCTTTACCTTCCCCTTCTCCCTCCCCTCCCGTAGAAGTGTCACTTAGGAGAGGGTATTATGGACAAGAGCCTGTCCCATAGTTCTATTATATAAATAAACATTGACTATACACAAAGATTCATTGCTTGATAAAGACAAGAGAACACTGGTCGAAACGTCGCTCAAATAAAGTTAGTAATTGTAATCCATAAGAATTTTTTCATTATATCTAACACCATTACTAAATGCCATTCGAAGATCAAAGTTTTGTATGTGAGCATGTTGACGTGAGAGACTTGACTTGAATTGGGATGCTGAAGCACATTTCACTATATTTTGGTCAATGATGAGAGACTGTGATGGTCGAGCTGGAGGGATTGTTGAACCACCATTATAGTTCAGACAGTGATCAGGAAAATGTGATGCTAGGCGCAGTACACACTACTCCAGCGTACGATGTAAAAGCCTTCTTCGTGTCGTTTCTTTAGTTTTGGACTAACACAATACAAGGGTTAGCCCGGCAATACAACCTGTTCTAATTAAATCCGAATGCCTTTGATCTGACTATTATTATTCCGAACCTAACACCGTCCCTTTAAATAACACAAATCCTCCAGTTTCAATACAAAATAAAGAGTCTATTTTAGGCCGGCTTTTTATTTAATATTTACTTGTGGAATTGAAGCCCACGTGTTAACAAGTAAGAATAAAGGGACGGTACACGGGACCCCCCTCGATGGCCTAGTAACTATATTGATGGGTGTAAATGGTATTTGAATACTAAAAGAGGGCGGTTACCATGCCATGTACTTGGTGTATGTTTAAGGACGATTTGGCATACCATTCGTGGTATATTGGTTTTATTGTCCGAACTAGTCAGTATATACCTAGAGCAATTTCAATTTTCAGTCAGACGTTTTGCAATTGTTTTTCGTGCAATTCAAAAGGCTGCTAATAATATCTTAGGCCTTTGCGACCGTGATCTCATGAAATCCTTATTTTTGGTGGAATTACAAGAACCAGAGACGTCTGACGGAAAATTGCATTGTTTATAGCTATGCTATCAGTGTCCAAAATACACATACTGAGTTTAGAAAACTTCCTTATTATCCCTTCAACCGCTCACAGGCACAGCAACCTACGTCGTTTTATCCCTTTTGATTTCGGACGAATGTGTGAGCTTACCATTCGTCAATCCTTGGATTCAGCCAACCCACCAACTATTTTATATAAATGTAAGTGAACGTTTTTTTATTGATAGTTTACTAGGATTCGGGAATAGGCGTGCGTCTATAAAATCTCCATCCATGACTCGGTTTGGTTTATAGAGAACTGAAGTCTCTGGTCTATTTATTCAGAACGAGTCGGACTATTTGACGAGAGTCAGTCGAAATGTAGCCAGAAGCAAAACTTCATTTTCCTCTAATCTACCGAACTAGTTAAACTTGATGTCGGATTTTTAAGTTGGAAATATATCTATACAGAGGGCATATATCAATCAGTTTTACTCATTTGATCAGTACTAAATACCCGTTTAGACGAAGGCCTACATTATTAATGAGCTCAGATAGCTTTGGAAATGAAATGAATGGAGATATACGTCCTACTTTTATCGTTAGTTTGGAATCAGTACAATTTACAAGCGACATAGTTTGATCATGTCAGAGCTTCCGGGCATTCCATACCTCCAATTCTAGAATCTCGTGGACTTCAAATAACATCATTGGGGAAATATTCAAAAAATACGTCGATAATTGGATAAAAATAGACAAGTTTCAAGTGATATATTTCAGTCTTAGGGTTTGGAATCATCTGTTAGGGCAGTGGTATACTAGTCTTCAGAGGAATAAAGGTCTTCTGGCCAACAACGTTCTTGGAGCATCACAGGGAAACCTAAAGTAGCATGGTGAATATATAGTCAGAGACTCGGACTAAATGTTTTCTGACCAACAACGTTCTTGGAGCATTGCGGGGAAACCTAAAGTAGCATGGTGAATATATAGTCAGAGACTCGGACTAAAGGTCTTCTGGCCAACAACGTTTTTGGAGCATTGCGGGGGAACCTAAAGTAGCATGGTGCATAAATAGTCAGAAACTTGGACTAAATGACTTCTGGACAATATCGTCCTGGTAACGTTTCAGGAAATCCTATATTAACGTAATTTTAAGCTACGTCAACGATTACAGCAAAACAAGCCTGTTATCTTCTGAAAGGACAGTTGTGTAGTACTTGAAACGTCTTCGGTGATTTAAACTAAAGGCTTTCTTACCAACAACGTTCTATTGACATTTTGCTATATCAAATATTGCAGTTCAAGCACCATTGCTTGCAGCAAAACAACCAGTCATCGTGTCGCGTGTATATGTGACCGTTATTAGCTCATTGAAATCAAGATTCGGCCACTTGAGCTATGACAGTGACTAACTGAATCAGTGTAACAACATAACATTACAACGTTTCGGTAATATTACATATCAAGTGTCGTTTATCATGAAAACATCGTCCAGTGGTAAATCTAGATTACTCTTTAAGCAATCGAAGGAGTAACTGCGTAGAAGGAAGTGAGAGTGCTTTACTCGAATGCACTTTTGGAGAGTTCACACATAGTTTAAGGTATAGTTTCTATTCTGATATGTGATAAGCAAAACCTCTTCCAATCCGTTTTCTTTCTTGATTCTTATAAGGAATCAAATTGACGCACATTAAATTCTGCTTACGTTGAAAATATCCCCGCAAGTGTGTGTATAACATACTAATAGTACATAATAGTGAACTTAGTATAAATAACCTTATGTGGAGTGATGAAAAATGGTTAACGAATTCGGTAGGACACGTGTGTATCACCTACGTAAGTGAGCATTACAGATGAAAACCATTGTTTACACATGTATGTATTGTAACTCGACCGTGTAAACATAGCCTTAACTTAACTATACATACCTACAGTGTTTATTACCATTTTTTAATATTCATAGCTTAGAGTGAAAAGAATTATTTATAGTAAGTTAGTGATATTTTGGTCTCGTCTTATACTTTTAGTACTGTTTGTCATTCAAACTATCTCATTGAGGCTGAATCAGTGAAAACTGGAGTACATGTAGATATTTGTCAACTGTTTTTAAGATTCATTCAGAGTAGGATGCAGCGTTAAGGATATTGAAGCAGTATCTCGATTAAAGGACTTAGGAATATACGAAAAGGTGTGCGCAGCAGGGCGAACTAAGTATTAATTTGATTCCAGTAAGTTTACGAAGCATTAAAGCGGTATAGGACATTAAAATACTTGGAAATATAGGAAACAGTGTGCGCAGCCATGGAGAATCTAGTATACACTTGATAACAATGTGTATATATTAGGGACTGTTTCTTCCAGAATTATTCTGATCCAGTTAACAGATTCACAATTTGCTTACGCTGTTAATATATTAGGTGTTTCATTTGAGAATTGCCTAATCCAGTTACCTGACGGTCAAGAAGTCAATGCAAAGTTGCTGGGTATGTAAATTTGTGACTTGGATTCTGGAAGAGTTGACAGCATTTAGATTGTCTGAACTAGTCAGCAGACTGTCCAGCATTAATGCTAGTGTATGTAGTGTGCTTTGGTTAGCTTAAACGAAGAAATGTGTGATTTGAATTTGGAAAGTGTTGAAGTCCGAATGGACGTGAACAATACTGCCTCGTCAAGTGGAGATAATTGTGAAAAGAAACAGAAATATAACTTCCGGCGAAGTTCTGTGATCAAGCGTATTCGGGTGGAAGAAAATCAAAAACAGTCCAAAAAGGATGCCAGGACAAAGGTCAAAACGAAACAAGAGGCACAACCCTTGAGCAAATATCGTAGAAGATCGGCAAATGCTCGTGAAAGATGCCGTATTAATGATATGAATTTAGCTTATGAACAGTTAAGAAACGTTTTGCCGCAGATGTCGCCAGTGTACAGCAAAAACAAGCTTTCTAAACAGACGATTTTAACGCTAGCTATGAACTATATCGCTGCTTTAAGACGGGTGCTTGGATATTCAGACCCCCAAGACCGGTCTGATGGTGAGTCGAATGGGTCCTCGTGTTCCACTGTCAGTTCTGATGGAGAATCTTCAAACTCGTCACTGACTACCTCAGATGATGGATTGTGTTCTACGTCATCAGAAAGCGTGTCTGATGAAATGATGTTGTCGACGTCACTAGTAACACAGTGTTCTACGTCATCAGGGAACATTTTGCATTCTAAGTCATCACTAAGTGGGAAGCTTTCATCTGATTTCGAATCAGACGATCCATTAGACTTGCCGATGGATATTTCAGAAGAAGAAATTTGTGATATCGTGACACCGGAAGTGACCATGATAACTTCCGGTGTAACAGATAATGTGTGAATCTGTATATGATTGAGCCTAGTTGTTAATTCATATTTGATTCAATTATAAACTGGCATGATATAGGGCCAATATGGTGAGATGTAATTGCATATACATATACAGTAGAAATTATCGTTGTGCAATACGATGGCATACAGCTGTCTAACAACAAGGAGTTGAAAGGGACAGTTCGCCATCCGTTTGATGTATAGAAAAGACATAATAATGTATAGAAATAGAACATGAAATTGGGCGATATTTAAAGGAATTATGCGGTGTCCGTACATTTCTAGTACTTCTGAACACTTTTTACATATATTCAAGCCTCAAATCTGTCCCTGTTATAGGCATATCAATCTAGTTGGATAGTTTGTACCATTCTCTACTTTCAAGACAGCAAGGTGTGTGGCAATTCAGACATCCCACTGTGCCAAAGTACCACCAATTACCAAAGAAATTTTGGAACGTGTATAGCTACACATTGGCTGAAGCTTGTTGGAAACGATGGTTAGGGATATTGCACCAATTCACTTACACTTGAAAAACAGAAAAAAAGTCTTCTGTGACAATCTAGTTGGAATATTGCACCGTCTGGTAAGAAGAGTAAACTTGTTGCACCATAGCACTGTCTGCTACCAAGACGGTAGACAGGGTGTCTAGCAATGTGAGGGTATATGAGATATTAATATAATAATGAACTGATTGAACCAGTTATACCAGGTTATTAACATGTTAAATATGGTTATTAACATCCCCATTAATTATACTAATTATTAATACATGTTTAACTTGTCGGGTACACTCTTTACAAGGTTTTAAGTAACATGGCCTGAGCTAGTGCCGTTCGTTATCAAATTGAAAGAGTGCTCTAATTTCCAGGGTATACTCAGAAATATTGATATCAAGAGATAAATAGCTAAAAATAAAAGCTGTTTTTTTTTTCAACTTTATGACCAATAGAATACTTCATATACTGCCATTATTGGCAAAACCAAATTTTTACAACAGCTTTATATAGGGAGGCAATTCCCTTTTATGGTGTGTATTTCTGATCAGCTGATGGAAGTTGACGGAACTGTAGATGGAATTGGAGCTGAGACATTGTAATTTTAATCTGGATGATCTAAAAATAATGTAATTATGATTTAGAGAAACTAAAATACCTCTTGACAATTCCCCACACCTTCCACAGCTCTTTTGCAGATATTACTCACGTTTTTCTACAGTTAAATGCATTTCGGCACCTTTATCGTTCTTTCAAAGACGGTTTTAAAATAACTTGGGAATATATTCCAAAACTCATAATGATAATATTATTCAAACGTTTTCTTGGGTATAATTTTTAAAATTGTCAGAAATCATAAGTAAAAATTGACTACAGCCAGGTTTGTCCTCGTGAACTATCGGCGTCTTGTAATATATAGAAGAACTTGAAATTCTGGTACAAAGTAAACTTTGTCAAGGTGAAGGTCGGGTCAAGTTTGTTTTATACGGGTCAATGTAATTAAAATAAAGTTGTAAATAAAATGTTAATTATCGTAAAGATGTTTGTCTTTCCTGATATTCTCTTAATGGGGCATAATCCGAAAGTTGCTGAATCCTGCCGAGCTATGGTAGATGCTGTGTTGACAAAAATAAGACAGTGGCTCAACTACCATGGGGACTGATTGAACCAAGTCCACGGGCCTCCACCACAAGAAAAAGGGAATCTATCAATTATCAAGAGGGGAGGTTGAAAAGCACATGTGGCCTTTTGAGATAAGCTTCTTGGATACTTTATCAGTACAAGAGGACCTCGCTTTATCTTAATACTACAACGGCTTCTCCTTAGTGAAAGCCTAACCAAATATTAGGACAGTCCACTTCATTAGATAAGAAATCAAATATTGACCAAGTGTGTCACAGAATGACCTTATGAGTAGATAGTCATATGACAACCAACGGTTTTGACCAGTAAGTTTCGTCAATAATAACTATCAGAGATCAGATATTATAGAGTCAGTAAGTATCAGACTAGTATAATAACTATTACAGGACCTATAGTCGGCAGGTTTCAGATTGCCCTGTCAACTACAGCTATCGAAGGTGAAGTACATAACGAAATAAATAACTATAATAAAATTCGGTGTCATGGACTATCATGGATTATTATAAAGGGTCGTTATACCTGATGACACCCTGTGGTAACTCTAATTTGAAATAGGTTGCTAAAAATATCATGAAATCTGAATTTTAATGGTTAACTAAGATTTGACTAAACTCTGTAACTAATTCAAACAAATAAAGGTGTCTCGTTTACCATTTCCTTTTTTATTTCGTACAAAACAATACAAATGTGCAGCATTTGGGTGGCTTAATGTCTATGAAGCCATTTAGATGTATTAGGCTTTGTTGGTCTACCAATAAAAAAGTAACCAGATCTAATAGACCTAACAATTAGTTAAATTTTCGAAAGGGGTGCCAACAAAACCCAGTCCCTGGGTGATATAAGATGTCCAGGAAGGGTAGGCCTAAGCATGAAGTGTCTACCTATGGTTAATTAAGAATTTAATTTTGTAAAAAGTGCAGGCTAGAGGACTTGCTGCAACTCCTATGGAGCTAGCCTCTATCATCCAGTCCCTCTTTGTCAGCAAAAATCTGCGACAAAAGATGTCACTTTGTTTCTGTTGCATCGAAATATGCTTAATTCTAGTTATATGCCTGGGTGGAACATGAAAGCGTCGTTACAAAAAAATTCAACTGTAAGTTTCAGACTATATCTATGCCGTACACAGAAGTCGGACATCGGAGACTTGTGTTCACAGACATTCGTTATAGCCTGTGTCATTATTTTTTCATACTAGATAGGCATGCTCCAAGTTCACAGGTCTTTTAGGCTATTGTTATAAGGCCCTGGTTCTCAACCTGGGTTGTTTGCACCCCTAGGTGGGTGGGTGGGGCTATGGCGCCAGGGGTATAACCATTTTTTGAGTAATCATCCTTTGGTCTCTGTGTTTAAAATGTTTCTATGAATAACCCTATGGACTCATTATGTAGTCGTTTGTGTCTCTTTCCCGCGGTTATGACGTTATGTTTACGTCATTTAGGCGGAAAATAATTAGTAACAAGAGTTTTCATTGGTCACATCTGACCGCGTTATGATCAGCTACACATTTGCCTCTTAAAGTTTGTTCTTTCTTTATGTCGTTACGGAAGTTATGTGTGTCGGAAAATGCAGAACAATATACCATCTAAGGGAGCAGAAACCCTTTTCAGCAGGTTTGGAAATTGGAATTGTAATTGAAACGCTTTGACCCAGGTTTATGGGCGAACCTAAGCGATATCACAGTGATTCTCCGGTAAAGCTCAAATATTCCAAAGCTTTTTGAATGGAGTCTAGGCTACGACCACATAAAAAACAACCTTGCGTGAACTGGAATCAAGCGTCGTGCGAAAATTTAATGATTGACTTTGTTTACGATTGCTTTTAAAGGGAAGTAACTGAATACTACAATCTAACATCAGACCACAGTAACATCGTTCATTCTAGATTGTGTCCAATGAGCTAATGCTTTTATAGGCGTAGGCGACGGGGCAGGCGGAGGAGAGGTTTCAAATATTTTTTTTTCGGGCAAACAAAGCAAAATACAGGTCAATAAACCCCGATTGTCTTGTGGTTAAGTGTGACAAGTTTATATACTATATTTACAGTTATAGATAAGTTAGTTCTTAGTCATCTTTCTGTTTTCAAATTATCACTTTCCACTTAATTAGTCCAAGGTAGTTGTTAAACAATAATGTTGCTAAGGGATTAAACCCTTAGTGAGGGCAAGTAACCAATTGCAATTGTTTATAATTAATAATTAGACTACTGTGTATGAATATACTTAATTAATTTGTTAATCCTCTATCTCTCTGTCTGTTAATCTTTTGTGAGTATATTACTGACAAATTGAAGCTAGTTATATTAACATTATAATTATATATATTATTCAGATATATAGAAATAACACAACAAATATACAATTTACCTAAAAGCTTTTAGCATGAGCAAAGCAAATATTAAGATATGTCACTTTGCTTTGTGATATTACAATAAACTTAAATACCACGTTAGTATGAAGTGCCCGACAATGTTTTCTTGACAGTTAGAGTTACAGAACATAGCAAAATGTTAGGCCAGCCTATGCCCTTGCAAATTTCCAAAATGTGTCGATCGTATACCGTATGTCGTTGTCGGGCTACTTATCATTGAATTGGGTGCAAAACTTGCAAGGGTTTGCAATTCCATTTTGTTTTGAAAGAACTTGGTCTAGCCTTTGATATTGTAGACTTGTTGAATATAGTCGTGTAGAACTATTATATATAACGAACGGTAGTCTCATTACCCATAACGCCTCTAAATAATGCAAGCTAAATATCATTTAAATCTGGAACATGAAAATTGTACAATTCTGAGAAAGTAAATTCGGTCTGAAGCATCAAAAATTTCATCGAAGGGAGACAATTAAATATTATTATTAATAGAAGGTCAAGGTCGGGTGATTTCAACACATAACGGTCGATAAAAATATTTACCGAGTCCTTAACTACTGTTGCTGAACGGAAAACTCGGCATTTTACGTGGATTTCACAATTCGAGGCGTGGCCTGTTAGATTAAAGAGTAGATGAACGAGTCGTGGATTAGGACAGGTTTTAAACACTTTATTATTGAGAGTAGTGAGCGAGATCGAACAAATCTCGTCAGTTTCTGAAATAACTATTTATGATTGTGAAATTGGACCAAGTGTCGGGTAAAATTAAGTTAACTTTGTTGTGTGAAAACACAGGACCATGGAGGACGATAACGGAATAGTTTTAGGATCTTATCGTCAAAATTCGGTCGGCTCGGACAATTCACAAAAAATGGAGTTAACGAATTTAATTGATCAAAATGGAGGTGATGTTGACAGAGGAAAAGAGAAAGAAGGCGAGGAACTTGGTATCCAGGAACCCGAGGGTATGAGAAGATCTGAAAGTTCAGAGGTTATTAATTTAACCCTTCATCAATGTGCAAGAGATGGGGATGCTAAAAATATGAAAATTATCCTCAAACACATGCAACATCATATAAAACGAAAGATCAACCAACATGATGATGAAGAGTTAAGTCCCCTACATTACGCTGCTCGTTATAATCATTTGAGCGTTGTTAAATTATTGGTTGATAATGGAGCAGACCCTAACGATAAGGGTGAAGACGGAATCACCCCCCTTCATTACGCTGCTAGGTACCGTCGAGAACGCAAGAAAAAAGACAGTGTTGCCCCAATTGGACCAATTGCTTATAGTGAATCTGAAAATGAGTTGAGTCCAATAGAGACAGGCCCAGCTGAACTGGATAATGCTGACTCAGAAGAATCTGTCATCAAGTTCTTAATTATGAAAGGGGCTCTGATAAACCAAACTGATGTTTATGGTCAAACTGCACTCAGTTTTGCTGCTATGAGAGGAAATGAACAAGCTGCCCAGGATTTACTCAGCTACAAAGACCGTCAGGATGTCAGAGAACAGATCAACATAGAGGCAGCGGATTTGACAGGAATGACAGCATTACACATTGTGGCTATTCATAATCAGGTTGAAATTGCAACCATGTTGATTAAAGCTGGGGCTAATTTGAGATGTGTGGATAAAGAACAGTCTACACCACTTCATCACGCCTGTTCTGAGGGTAACCTGGAAATTATCAAAATGTTGTTTGATGCTGGTATGAAGACCCCAGAAGGTTGGGTCATGATTTCCAACATGGTAACAGATAGAGATATTGAACAGAGCACCTGTTTGCATTTAACAGTGGATAATGGTCATTACGAATGTACTAAATTAGTCCTGGAAAAAAGAGCTGATGTCAACGTACCCAGAAAACATTACATGCATCCTTTGCATTTAGCTGCCATTTCTGGTGATATCAGAATAGTGAGACTTCTGGTAAACCACAGTGCTAGGATTGATGTACTTAATGATGAACAGTCTACTCCCCTTCATAAAGCTGCTCAATTCAATCATTGTGAAGTAGTGAAATTTCTGGTTGAAAGAGGTGCCAAGATAAACTGTAAGGACAATGACAATTATACTCCCCTTTTACTAGCAGCTACGTACGGTAGAACGGAATGTGCTGAGCTGCTGCTTCAAAAGGGAGCAGATTATGCTGCTCTCGACAAAGATGACAAAACTGCAATTTTTTTGTGTGCTGAAGAAAATCGATTACAAACTTTGCGAAAACTTTTATCCCATACCCAACTGAGGAAACTTATTAATGAAAGTGACAAATACAGTAACGACCCTCTCCATATTGCAGCTAAACAAGGATACTTGGAAATTTTGAAATGTTTGCTTGATAATGGAGCCGATTTGGACAGTAAAAATGAAGAGGAACAGACACCTGTTCATTTGGCTGCACGATACGGCCGTACACAAATTGTCCGAGAGTTAGTGAAACATGACAAGTCTGTGGTATATGATGAGGACGAGGATTCTAATACTGGCCTCCATTTAGCAGCTCAATATGGACACGATAAAGTTGTTGACATCTTGATCGAGTTTGGAAGTGACGTAGCAGCTAGAAATTATAACCAATGGACCCCACTTGATTTAGCAGCATCGAAAGGCTGGACCAAAACTTGTAGAATACTTTTAGATCAGGATGCACCTGTTGATCCGGTGGACAAATCCAATACAACACCTCTGCATCTTGCAGCTAAAGGTGGTCATGCCCAAGTGGTTGAACTGTTGATAGATTGGGATGCTAATGTCACTACAAGAGATGCTGAAGGACAGAATAGTTTAGATCTGGCTATTGAAGCCCATAATGTGGATGTAGCATTGGCTATTATTAATTCAAGCGTTTGGGAAGAAGCTTTGAGAAATGCCACGTTAGATTTGACCACTGGTGTTCTGGACACACCAATGCGAAGACTGATCCGCAAAATGCCAGAAGTCGCAGAAAGAGTTTTCGACAGATGTTTGAGTTACGGAGCTGAGAAGAATCCAGAGCGAGCTGATTATGAGATAACATTTAATTACGAGTTTTTAGACGATGCTTATGCACGATGGATGGACATTAAACCTGATTCTAGTGAATTCGGGTCCACATCTGACAGTGTTTACGAGGATGATGATAAAGTTGCTGAAAATGCCCGGCCGTATTCACCAGATTCAAATCTCCTGAAGAAAAATCATCCCATTATGATTATGGTGGAATCGAACCGAGAAGATTTATTGGGGCATCCCTTGGTCACATCACTTCTCACTCATAAATGGAGCTCATTCGGCAGTCTCATCTACTACTTGCTTCTCTTCATTTTCGCTATTTTCTTGGCATTTTTAACAGGTTACATCATCGAGACCACACCTCCTTATCTCTTCAATGCTACTGATGCAGCCAGCATTGAAAACAACACTTGTGACTCTTTGAGTAAGCCTATAACACAAGCAGTTTTACCAAAAATAGGTAAATGGATTATTATGGCATTAGCTGCCTTTAATTTGCTCAAAGAACTGTTACAGATTTATCAAGCAAAATTGAGTTATTTTGGATGGACTAATATTATGGAATGGATTACCTACGTTACCGCTTTGCTTCTTGTGATTGACTTTAATGATTGTCAGAAAATAACAGGATATCGTTACAATTGGCAGTGGTCTGTTGGCGCCATTTCAATTTTCTTGGCTTGGATGAATCTTGTGGCGTTTATTCAGAAATTCCCTGCTTTTGGAATCTACGTTGTCATGTTTACGGATGTCCTGAAGACCTTCGCTCAATTCTTCACTGTATTCTTCCTGTTCATTGTTGCCTTCGCTTTGTCTTTTTTCACCGTTTTTCAAAATCAGACTGCTTTTAAGACAGTAGGACATTCTCTGATTAAGACTGCAGTTATGATGATTGGTGAAATTGAATTTGATGGTATATTTAACTCTAGGTTTACATCTGACGATGTATCGGAAGCTGTGTATATGAATGAGGTATCCTACATTTTATTTGTCATCTTTCTCATTGTCATGACAATCCTTATCATGAACTTGTTGGTGGGTTTGGCTGTAGATGACATCAAAGCTGTACAGGAACAAGCCATTTTGAAGAGGATGGCTATGCAAGTCGATATGGCGTTAGATGTGGAGAGAATCTTACCGAACGTCTTGCGTAAAAGATTTTACATACGTCGTAAGACTATTCTACCAAATAAACAATTCGGGAACTTTATTTTGAAATTTTTCGGATCAGAATCGTCTCTGTCTGCTCAAACGATTCAAAAAGCTTTAAATCCTGAGTTAGATGAAATAGACAGGGTGGAAGAAGGACAGAAGAAATTGCAAGCAGACGTCAAGAAGCTGAAGCGAGTGATCAAGGATATGAGGGAGCAGAACTCACGTATTGAGAGCATGTTAAAGGCAATAGTTACTCAGTCTGAAAATATCAGTTGGCAGGAAGAAGATTTTCAAGATGACGCTGAAGAAGCTGTTATTGGTTAAATTTTAGGTTGGTGTCTTTTTTTAATATTCACCTTTTTTTACTACCTTCTTCTGAGTATTAGTGTCTCTTTTTTATTTGTGTTCAAAAGTACTAGAAAATCCTTCAAAATTATTTCAAACTTTGAATTTCTTTTCTTATTTTCTATATATGACACTGTCTCAAGAAATTTAACTTTCAAACACAGATAAATCTGGACATACATGGATTTTAACGGTGAGATGTGACAATATTACTGATTGGCTTAGCTTAAAAATTCCTGTTTCTGAGACCAAATATGATTGGTCCAAAAAAATGGCTCATCTGTCCCTTTAATAAACCTTAAATTACAAAATATACATTACCAAATCAATATGTTGGTGTCTGCATAAACAGCATTACAGTGTATAGATATTATTACATTTAATTATGTTATTATTATACAAGTATTAGCTGAAACATTAGTATATGTATATGAAAAGGTGTACCGCTATATATAATGTACATAACCATTACTATCATGTTATAAAACATTCAACATACTACTATAACATTATAGCCAGTTAGGATCAATTTATACATTACTAAGCTTTAAATAAGTACTTATTCTATCTCAAACATGGTGCTATAAACTCCTCATGTAAAGCACTGGCCAAGGTCACAAAAAAGAGATCTGCTAGATATGAACTAGAGTGGAGTAACATTTCGATAGTATTTAATTCTGAATATAAAAACCATAGGGTAATCTGGAATAAAAATATTGAATATCAAAGTCTTATTGTTATCAGTTTTAAAAGATAAGGGAGTGTTCTAAAAGACAAGGGAATGTTCTAAAACACAAGGGAGTGTTCTAAAAGACAAGGGAGTTCTAAAAGACAAGGGAATGTTCTAAAAGACAAGGGAGTGTTCTAAAAGACAAGGGAATGTTCTAAAAGACAAGGGAGTGTTCTAAAAGACAAGGGAGTTCTAAAACACAAGGGAGTGTTCTAAAAGACAAGGGAGTATTCTAAAAGATAGGGACTATGAGTAGGTTGTGAAAAGATCTATATAAGTGGATTATATGATACATAATAAGCTTGTATGAGAGTATATAGTGTAAGCTTAATCATGCTTGATTCACAAAAGCTATAACCTCGTTTACAAAAACAGATGGGTTAAACTCTTGTTATAGAACTGTTCTCAAAATTGTTGAAGTGTAATTTATAACAATTTAGTAATTTTATCGGATCAAGTTCTATACGGAAAACGGAACACTTTGTAGTATCTTAAAGTAAACAAGGCTTATGCCAGATATGAATAAGATACTGGATGAGTTTGAAAAAGGTGCATTTATAGGTATGCTAAAACTGTAAAATATACACTGATATTATATATTATATAGTAATATATGTCACAAATAGCTCTAGTAAAATCAAGGTGGATCCTAATAGGCTATGCTATAGTCAATATAAATCAGCTTTAGAAATAGTAAAAACAGTATGATATGAAATGTTTTTCTTCAACAGTCTATTGGAGTTTATTAGGGTGTAACAAAGTAAACTTCAACTTCAACAAAACCATTTAGTATATAATGGATATTCAAAAGTTTTGAATTTTTGTCTCAGGATATATTAAAATATTGTACCTCAGACTTTCAGACTTTCAGGCTATAAAATCTGAGCAAATTTTGATTCTTCACAAGGTTAACCAGCTTGGATGAAGAGATTTCAAAGGGTTTTCTGGTTTATAAAAACCTCTCCCCCATATACCTGCCCTTTTTATATGCCCACTCGTAAGATGGGCGTATATTGTAATCACCCCTTCGGTCCGTCCATTCACATTTGGCTCGTGCTCACTCTACAGGCTACAGTTCTTTATGGATTCTTTTGATTTTTATTTTGTGTGTCAATGTCATTATGAAGACGATCCCTATTGATTTTCGTGATGATCGGATAATTTTTCACCGAAATATCGTGTCTGACTTGACGTTTTACTCTATTAGCTATATAGTGCAACTCGTGCTCACTCTACAGGCTACAATTTTTTACAGATTCTTTTGATTTTTATTTTGTGTGTCAATGTCATTATGAAGATGATCCCTATTGATTTTCATGATGATCTATCGATTTTCATGATGATCGGATAATTTTTCACTGAAATATCGTGTCTGACCTGACGTTTTACTCTATTAGCTATATTGTGCATCTCGTGCTCACTCTACAGGCTACAATTGTTTACGGATTCTTTTGATTTTTATTTTGTATGTCAATGTCATTATGAAGATGATCCCTATCGATTTTTGCGATGATCGGATAATATTTTACCGAAATACCGTGTCTGACTTGACGTTTCACTCTATTAGCTATATTGTGCAACCCTGTAGTCACTAAAGACTGTTTAATCATTTCTGACAGCTGCCAGTGGGCGTATGTTACCTTGCCTGGCAAGCTATCTTTATACCTCTCCATGATATAACTCTCCCTCTGATACATATACCTGCCCCTTTTATACCTCTCTCTGATATATCTCTCCCCCATATACTTGCCCCTTTTATTCCCCATAAACCTCTCCCTGATATACCTTATAAATGGCCTTGTTCTGTGCCCCATATACATATGTCCCTTTAACTTGCTGACAGCATTGTTGATATTAGACAGTATTATGACAGTGTTATGGTTGATAAATAGTTAGCAATCAATAAATAACCATAAGTTTTCATTGACTATTATTATGAGACAAACTGTATATTAAATACCAAAGGGCAAACCTAATATACCATTGATTTATCTGTGATATATAACATAAATTTGTATAAAATACTGTTATATATTGAGAGAGACTCAAGGTTAAATATTTATTAATGTCACATGTACTTTACTTTTGAAAAGGGTTGTGGGTGATAATCGGCCAACTATCACAAGCAGGGGACATGCCTCACATATTTTACTAACAGAACCCTAAATGTTGTTCATTATTATAAAGCCTTAAAGGAAAACACAAACAAGTCATTATTTGATTTGAACGAAATTTTGAAGCGGAGAGAACATATAACAAAATAGGGAATATATTATGGTATAACACACTTCTTTAATGATAAAAGTAAATTGTGTTGAATCATTATGTACTTTGTTATTAAAGAAGTATAAAATATTCCCTTCTGTTTGTTGTTGTATCAAAACTAAGTTAATCAAACATTTACAAGTGAATCCATAACTATCTTCATCTTGTACCTTGACTGCAATGGACCCCTTTCTTGTTTCATAGAATGCAGTGATTTGATTGGATTGTACAGTATCGAATACAGCCAATCAGAACCCTTGATTTCAGGCATAATTTTTTTTACAGTTTCTAGTTCAGAATGGCTGTATTCAAATCAATCCAATCAATTTGCGGCATTTTCCTTGGTACAAGAAAGTGGGCCATTGCAGTCAAGGTATAGGATGAAGACACCTAAAAAATAATGTTTTTAATTTGTGATTCAATACAATATTTTAATTTATGGTATTCTAATACGCTGGCTGTCAAGTATATTAAATAATTAACATATTAATAATGTAATACCAGTACTAGTAGTTGAATATATAGTTATAACTTCTGGCCTTTTAAATTTCGTAATATCAACATGAGTATATTCTGTATCTTTAACCCGTTGAAATAAATAAGGTATGTTATGTCAACAGGTTCACTGAATTACGATATTCACAGTAAATTTCATAATTTAGGTCATGAATATTTTCTTATCAAAATGGAAGTAGAGCAAGTATAGTTTTATAAAAAAAAAAAAACTCAAATCAAAATAGTTTGCTGGTGTTTATGATTTGATTTTGAATTGGACATGTATAAATATCTTTGCTTAAAAATAATAATAATAATAGGTCTTTAGAAGTAACCATAAATATATTCATAATCTATTTGTGTACTATTTTATTTTTGGATTTTTTAGGTACAAACTGTTGAATTAGCCTTATTCAGACATGACTGGCAAATTGAGGTAATTCAATAATTGACAAGGAATATTTACCAGTCATGTCTATAAAGAGCTTTAGATTGTTGATTTGGCTGTAAGCCTGTATTTGCCAATCATGTCTGACTATAACTTTAGGTTAATGAATTAGCTATATTTACCAGTCAAGTCACTAAATTATAACGGAATATCTAATAAAAAAGACCCTATGTTCTAATGATACGAACTGCAAAACAAAACCATAAATCAAAAACAAAAGTAACATATTACTAATTACTAATATGATATTAGCAATACATCTAAATTGGTATAAACTTGTGTTTTTGCTGAGACTTAATAGAATTATTTTTTATCAAAACCAAATTATTTATATTTTGTAGGTTGAAATGGTGTATTGTTTTATATGATCCTGCTGGCTCTGCTCATACTAGTAATGGACAACTCGGACCACAAGTGTACTTTCTTATCTTCAAAGATTAGCATATTTGTAAGGATGTTATAGAGACTTAGTATGTATATGTAAGTAATATATAAGTATTACATGTTTATATTATATATATAGTGTGCTATCTCTAGGATAGTTTCTACCATTATCAAAACATAAAATATAAGGGATTGTATAGAGATTTTCTAGACCTTCTTGTTAGTCAGGGACCCAAATAGCTACTGAATATAAGATTGTATGGTATTTTTTTAATGAAAAAATTTTATCCAACAGGGTATAATGCTGGTAAACCCCTTTACAATATATTTGTATATTTTTCATTTATAGTACATCTAAACAGCTGATATTAT